TAAATATTATATTTTGTGCCACAATCACGTTTTGGTACATATGTTATTTGTTCATGATATGATGTTATTTGTCTTTGTTCATCAATAAGCATGATAATAATTTGAAATATTGCGATTGTATAAGTTTCAACACGATGTACTAATTGAAGTGTCAAACTTATTCGTTGATTTTGCCATTGACATCGATCACCGAAATAACTAGGTGGACATAAACATTTATTTGTTTTATTATCATTAAAATGAATGATAATTCCTCGATTGCAATACCAATTTTTTATTCCACTTATATTTTCATTGATAGTTGGTTCTTTTTTCACGTTGGAATTCTTTTGGTTCAATAATGCATTTGAATTTTCAGGAAAATATCCCATTTGTGATGATATCAAAAAAGATTTGTCGAATTCAATTTTTCGTACATTTTTTTGGAAAAAAGGACAAATATTTTTTTTAATTAAAAGAAACCAATATGCCATTATTATTGGACAGGATATTTCGAGTGGATAGTAACAGACCTCCTGAACTGGCGCTATTGATGATATATGGATACAGAGTTCTTCTAAAGAAGTGCATGAAGAATCGTAGGAGAAACATTCTAATGTCTCATTGTTATGTGCCGTATTCAAACTGATTTCATGTTCAGTGTAATAAATTTCACAATCTAAATATTGTTCCATTAAAACCATTAATGGAAAACAAAAGAAATTTGTCAATAACCTTCTAGAACATGAAGTACCCTTCCATGTACATTTTAATTTGGGACAATTATGTTCATCAGTACCATCAGCACAATTTTGAAGACGATTACATCGAACATAAGGATTATTACATGGCCAATATTGACAATTTGTTTCATCGGTTTCATTCGATTTTAATAGTAATGAATGATTTTTTCCATCACATAACAAAGCAAATGGAACATCTCCTTTTAAAGTATTACGTTGATTTTCAGTCATTTCATCTTCTTCATTTTGACAATCATTCTTTCCATTCTGCACTGCTATTGGTGATAAACATTTATTTTGTTCAGATTCACAAATAAATCGTTTTGAGTCGTTTAATTGACAAGTAGGAAATACTTCATCTTCTTCAAAATAACAATCAATAATTCCATCAACAAGACGATGTTTTGAAATACATTTCAATGAAAGTGAACAATGAAAAAGTGATGAATGTGAACAAGATTGTTCTATGCCAGTCGTTGAACAACGAATAAATAATTTTTCAAGAGCATCTTGCATTTCATTGCCACCATTTAATAATTCATTAGATAATTCACTAGCAGCACAACAAACAAGTCCATTATTTATACCGATATCTATGACGCAATACGTCAGTGCAGGACAATCTTTAGGATTGAAACAAATAAAATCAGGATTAATCAACAAAGCAAAATCTATCAATAATCTATTCGGTAAATAAATAAAATGAAACTTTGAATAAGCGTAGTATACTTCAACCTTAAAAAGCCAATTTGTTAAACATTTTCTTCCTATAGATTCACAAGGGATCATCATATATATTGATGTTGAATTCAGTAATATTTGTTTTAAAATATCGATATTCGAGACCAATGTGGAGTCGAACATTTGAACAAAAAGAGATTCTAATGGCCGAGATAAAAATCTCATTCGATAGAATGTCGCTATCATATCTCGACCATTGGCACAAAGACGGATTGCAGATAGAAGTCCAATATCCGAAAAAGCATACTGACCGTCACCACATGGAAAAGACCGAAGATGCCGGCTGGTATGTTCTTCACATCGAAATGTTGGAAAAGTTAAGCAAGCACTTTTAGAACGGTAAAGCTCTTCTTCATATAATTCTATTTCATCAGTACCGTCAAGACAATCTGGACTTGTAGGTCCATCTTTTACAAATGTTAATGGAATGCATTGGCCACCATAATGGCATCGATATGTGTCATCAGGACATTCATTCATTTCCAATAATTGACAATATTTTTCATCTTCTCCATTCGTACAATCCAATTTTCCATCACAAATTTCACGCCAATCGAGACACACTGATAGTGGATAATTATAGCAGTTAGTAAGGAAAGAATAGCATGTGCCAATATTGTCATCATACAACATGTCATGTGCCATGCGATGAATAAAATTTCTTCGAACAATATCATCAAATGACACTGGTAGCTTAGTATCAAATCTGTATTGACATTTAGGACCAAACCAAGGTAATGAACAATTGTAAAAAACTTTTGTTAAATCTAAAACTTTCATTTCATATTTTTCGGCAATATCAATTGGTACCGACCATTCAAGTAATTGCTGACTTGTTACACCTTGTTTATATAATTCATTAAATGTAATAATTTTGTCTATATTATTCATTGAAATATTTGACAAATGATCTTTTATTTCATTTTGATCTGGTCTTCGGCAGTATGGAATCAGATGATAAATCGTTACTTGCGAAGAATCAATATATTCATCATAACCTGTCATATGTGCATAAAGACAATCAAAGAAAGAGTTAGATCTTGATTGATCGTTTGAATGATACATCGAATAGTGAGTGGCGAATGCATTGAATAACAATAGAAATACTAGTAATTGTAAAGTATTCATAGTTGATTAGGATACTACCAATAAAATAATTTCCTTTTTACTTTCTCTAATCGTATTCTGAAATAAAATGTATTATATGAAGTAAGCGTACAGTCAATTTCAATATTTTTATGTACTACAGAATGACACCAAAAAAATAAATTCTTCTTCCTACAACATCATGTCTTCACTTTTAGTATTCATTTTTGAGTCAAAACCATTTTGCAATAGATAGAGTTACGAAAGAAGCCACTAAATAGGCATTCTCTAAGTTCTGGAAATGTTTCACTATAGCTGTTGACGAATAAGAAATTTAACTCTGGATGTTGTTACGTGCTGCTGTTCGTGCTAAGATTTACTTCTCACCATAAAACTGCAACTTATCAAGAATTTGTATATCAATATAGCACCGTCAATCTCGAGTCAAGTCGTTACTTATAAATTTTATTAGTATAATAATTCAAAAAAATGATCTCTACTTTAAGTGAAAGTTTTCGATCCTAATACATTTTTGCTGTTGAGTTTCTAAATCTTTAGAA